TATTTTCCCTATTATTGTCGCACATACTAATCTTGACAAAGTATATAAGAAAACTCCAGTTGGAGTGCCACCATTTAACGTGTCCTGATCAAGTATTAAGGGAGCTTCTTGTCTGCACTCGAGATGTGGATAACAATGGCATGAACCTAAATTCGTATTACGGGTACAGATATCAATAATCGAAATGAGAATGAGCTATGTAATTATTCGAAATGTGTAACTTTACTTTCTCAAAAGAAATGCAATTCACCCTGATTATTACTTGAGTGAAGCTCCCACCACATCTTTGTTATGTTGTGCTGCTTTCCACTTGTATTTACTTTTGCTAAGTGATAGTTAAAGAAACTGGTAAAAAAACTGTGAAATAGGCCTAACTAGAAAAATCTTTTCCTCTATCAAGCGGGCAGTGTTCCATAGATTAGAAACTACTGACCTATATGGTGACGTGAAAATTATCTCTTTCGTAATGATGTAATAATTAAAATGCATGTTCCTTTTCAGGTGTACTTATTGTTTTCCTTTCCAGTCGATGCAGAACGAAACTAAAATGTTGCTGTTTTTGATGTTATAGATGAGCTAAAGAAACTTCTAATTATTCCGTAAGAAATGCAGTGCTTCAAGCACCTTTTTTTAAATGATACTTTAAATTTGATGTGAATATTTGTTTTGATGTTTTCATGAGATTGAAAGGTAGAAGTTAAGCTGGACTTTGAAATTCTCAGCTGCTTTCTCGGTGTAAATTAGACAGTGACCACAGTGTTGTAAACGCTGGTAAAAATACCACGTTTTGTGGCACTTTACCCATATAAATTATTTTAATATAAAGAAAGTGCGTTCTGAAGGCCAGTGCATGGGACGGTTTCAATATCAAACCGAGCGGCATTATGAAAGACGGCGAAGCATCTGTCTCAATCCAAATACTCAACTTTTTCAATTTATTTACGAAATTATGAACTAGAGTGCAACTAAATTGTTTTCAAGACAGAAACAAGTTACAAATCCTCAACGAACTTCAAATCAAGGCAAGCGGCAGCTCAAAATTTAACAAAGCTCGTTCAAGAAAATGAAGCTTCGAATATCGAAGATAACGAAGAAATTGAGAAATCTCTGAACTAAATCTCGTTTCCCTGCTTTTGCCTGTCCCCAAGAATTCGCTGATTTTTTCGCTGTCATCCGAATTGCATTCTCTGATTTCTGCACCCTTACTTACTAAATTATGAACATCCACTTTATTCTGCGCATCCATTCATTACTGCTAGTCCGCCGAGTCCTGCGCATCCGTTGATATCAACCCAACCATTCAATTCTGTTGATTCATTAACCAGTACATCCGCTGACGTCTGCTCAACTGACATCTGCTCCTCCACTGACGTATCTTGGCCCATTGACTGCAGCGTGGTGAGTCTAGTAGTTTTAATTTTTCATTTTTATTTCTATGAATATGTTTATAGATATTTGTACTCCCGTATTTGTATGTATTGTCGTGATGTACATGCACTATCGTATCCCTAGCCTGCTGATGTTTTCCTTTGCTCATGCCTGCTGACTGCTTATTAAATTTATTCTTGTCCCATTTGATACGCTGGTCTTCTATTATTATATTTCCTGCATTTTGCCTCCTGAAGAAACAGTAATTTTCATTCATTATATTTCTTAAGTTATCACGGCTTACTCCTCTTGTCATCATCGGTATCACTCCTCGTCTCACTCGTCACTGTCGCTCTCATCTTCCATAGCTGGCGTTCGATGACGGACGATGGTGCAGCTTTAATTTAAGCCAATAATTTAGCCAATTCTGCCATCTTTAACTCATTATAAAGATCAATGTTCTACACTGCTCATACGGTTTGATAAAGAAATGATGATGAAAATATTTCTTGAATTTGTGATACAAATCTAGTTGCAGGGGTTAATTTGTCCCACCTATCAGGAGGCCCTGGGACCACGAGGTTTATTTGACCCGCTGTTCTTGGGGACCTGGGACCACGAGGTTTATTTGACCCGCGGTTCTTGGGGACCTGGGACCACGAAGTTTATTTGACCCGCGGTTCTTGGGGACCTGGGACCACGAGGTTTATTTGACCCGCGGTCCTTAGGGCCTGGGACCAAATGGTGCTAGAGCCGCAGCCTTGCATTCCCCACCGCCTCTTCAATAATTCAAACAATGCAGCAGGAATTCAATCCTAGAATTCAAGTCTTAATGAGGGATTTTAAAGTTCTCTTCTGATCCCGCAAACCATGGGAGTTTTCTCAGACTAAAATTTCTAAGAAATTTTTTCGACACATTCCGTCAACGGAATATCTGCGTACAGACCGACGTCTATTATTCTGATAGAATGATGGCTTGAATTTGTAGAGAATTCAAAAGATTTGGACGTCGATATTCCGAATGCTAATTATACCATGAAGCTAACGCTTGGCAAAATAGAGGAATTGTCACATTGTGCGGTAACACAGAACGTAATAAGCCTCAGACCAGGTCACATTTTCTGTAGAGTCTTACTATACCCGCGGTATAGGCCTTAGGCCGGGCCATATTTTCTGTAGGGTCTAGCCAGACCCGCAGTGTAGCTCTGAGGCCGGGTCGAATTTTCTGTAGGGACTTGCCAGATCCGCGGTGTAGGCCTATAAGACCGGGTCAGAATTTCTGTAGGGTCTAGCCAGACCCTCGGTTTAGGCCTTAGGCCGGGCCATATTTTCTGAAGGGTCTAGCCAGATCCGCGGTGTAGGCCTATAAAGGCCGGATCAGATTTTCTGTAGGGTCTAGCCAGATCCGCGGTGTAGGCCCATAAGGCCGGATCAGAATTTCTGTAGGGTCTAGCCAGACCCTCGGTTTAGGCCTTAGGCCGGGCCAAAGGTCAGGCAGCGAAGCAGGGCTGGCTAATATTAGAGCCAGAGCCTCCTATCCTCTCCGTCATGCTAGAGCCAAGCCTGGCCCTGTTCGTTATTTACCTCGTTCCTTTAGCGACTTTCTTAAGATTTGCCCCCATCTCTCTTCGTGAATTAGTTCGCATTTTTTTGCTTTTCTCTCTTTGTCAATTCTTTCCACGTCAACTTCGATTTTTTTATATTCAGTTAATATTCCAGCCTTGAAGATGTTTATTTTTAATTAGGGTTCAATCATTAATGGATACATTCAAAGAACATTATAGACTGCNAATGATTGTCTTGTTTGCTTTATAAATTGTTGCCACTAAAATGTTTGTCTTGCCTGCCGTTTAGCACTCGAGCTTGCCTTTCAAATTGAACCATTTCAATTATTATCCTGTAAGCAAAAAAAAATATATTTCCGTCAAGACGGTTCAGTCAAAATAAATATTTTGAAACGTTTACAGTGCTGACTTATTTAATTGAAATTTTTTCTTCCCTGCTTATCCAACTAAAAGGTTTGGACAAGTTAGGTTTGTCGCTAATAAAACTGAAAAGTTTTGAAAAAATTCTTTTGCTTTCTGATAAAATTTTAGGGTTTTTGCTAACTTTTCATTGCCTGCAGAGAATTTTATTTGTCTTTGATAAGTTGGTTAATGAAATGTGAGGGTTTGTTTACTGGCATCGTGTCTTCTTGTTCGTTAATTAATGAAAACGTTCATTGTTAACAGACTGCCAGCATGCCTCTTTTAGCGCCAAAATCGATACACGTGTCGAAAATTATTTGTCTATTTTTCAATTGTGTGAGATTTGTTGTCATTTCTTATGTGTTAGCACATTCAAATTCATGAACAATTCTGTATGAATCATAACGTTTTGAATTCGTTCGTATTCTGCTTGAAGTGACAATAATGAGCTGGGAGTAATCAGACGTAATTTCACACGTTACTGAAATTTGATTCTATGAATCGTCTCGTATCATCTTACTAAACGATTTGAATTAACCCATTGATTAATTTTATTATAATTTGATATTTTACAAATTTATGTCTTTAATAATGTCTGCCTTAAATGATTTGTCAATAATAATTATTTCATTATTTGTATAATTATTTGTAATTGCCCTAACAGCTGGCGTCGAGGAAGAGGTGCGAAGAAGCAGAGGACGTCGCGGCTGCTGAACCTAGACACCTCCGTCACTGTCAGCGATATAACAACGAATCACCGTTACATTTCTCATAAGTTGTTATTTAATGTTCAGCTGAGGAGTTCTTTATCGTTCATGTTGTCTCTTGGCACTACAAAGTGAACGCCACGACTCCTCCCATCACTTCGCAGAATTTGTTCCACGCATCATTCCTGTTCTTCAGTTGCATCCATAAAAAAATTGATGTGTTTTGGAGTTACTTTTGAGAAATCGAAGCGTTGAACTTCTGCCCAACATTTGTGTAGCGCACCGTATTATTTGTTGACAGTTCTGACCACCAAGCCTGTGAACAAAAGTTGATTCTTATAGAACCTGTTGTTATAGATGCCAATATATCAAACTCGGGTGGACAATGGAATAGATCAATAACATCAATGAGATATTCACATGAAAAGATTTTTGTTATGGATAGTATAAGGATATGTGCCTTTATGAATTCATCGGTGTTAGAGAAACCGAATCTTTACTAATCGACGTAGCAGCCTGAGTAAAGCTGTTTGAATGTTAAATTTTTGTTGCGATATTTGACGCCATTGATAAGGTGATGCTCTAAACCTGCAATAATTGAAGTTTTCGATGTTCCTAAGATAATCAAGTGACATGGTGTCACTTTGTTATTACTCTAACACATTCTCTGCTTCCATTTATCTTACTATAGATTGAATGTCTTCTAGTAGAAAGAAGTTGTCTGTAGCAGCATGAAAAGCATAGGTTATACTCCGCTTGCTGCCGTCGCTGCTATTCCACCTTCTCATGTTGATTTGCTCTCGCCTCTTTCTACTCCTTCATCTCCTCTGCGTTCCCTAGATCTTCTCCCTCCCCAGTTATCTGATCCCATATCGTGACTAGCAGAGAGCAGACTTACAAGTAATGAAAAATCTTCCTGCCTCCTCGGGACCGGGGAAAACAATTTTCGTTACCGGCTCCGAATGGTACACCTAAAAACGCAGTATTATATGTTCGAAGGTTTATTCACTCCTCCACCGAACAAAATGAAATCCAGACGGGGAGGAAGTATGGGTGGGTTAGGGGGGAAGCCTGGGCGAAGGATGGACAAGAAATCAGGCCGAGGTATGATGTACGAAAACGAAGGTTTGCGGATGCGTAGTATTGAAATCAACGCTGAAGTTGAGAAAGGTCACAACGACCTGCGAAAACTTAAGAAGGAAAACGAAACTTTGAAACAGCAGGTGTGGACATTAAGAGATGAGTACGACAAGCTGGAAACATTAGTAAAAGGTATGGAATCATCTGGCAGTGAGGATGATGACGACGATGATGATGATGATGATGATGACAGCACAGAGCGCAGCGTCACCGAAAATGATAACCAAAGAAGAAGTTCGACCATGTCCAAAGATACAATAGATGGTGTTGATTTGCTGGAAGACACCGAAAATGTTGAGAAAATATATAGTAATAACACTGCCCCAGGGTTCAGCAGCCAGCAACAGTCACGAGTAGAAGAGATTTCTGCCTCTGGGAGTGGACCTAGTACCAGCGTTCAATCTGGAGGAGGACCTTCATTGAGCTCTTCCGCCGATCAGTATATTAGCCCTCCGGAGCATTTTAATTTGGATCAACTTCTTGACTTCGCATCTTCTTTCCATTATGATCGTCGGAAGCACTTGACTTCAGACGAGCCGCCCACCGTGGCCGTGACTCTTGCGAGTGGTGATCGAGTGACATCGCCGACCTTTGGTCTCTCAGACAAAGGGGCATTGGGTGCTTCTGCTTTCCGCCGCAGATCTGCGACGGTGATAGAACAGGTTTCTGAAACTGGAGGTGCAGCCGTCATTGAAGAAATGCCAAATACTTCATCGTTTGATGAGACTTCTTATAACTTGCCAACCATCACTGTACGACCTGAAGTTGCCGGACAAGGGACTTCGGTGACCTACACAAGATCATCAGCATATTATTTTTCCAATTCTCTGGATGGCTCTCGTAGTCAGAGTTTGGGAACAGGACTCAATGCTGCAGGAGGACCTAGATCTGGTCCTACCCCGCTTTATCCTTCAGGTTGTCCTACGAATTTGAAGAACGGATCATCTTCACTGGACGCTGGTCTTCCATTAGTATCGGTTTTCCCTCCGCGTACTCCGTTGGTGCGTCTCTCTAGCATCGAACCTAACACGCTTATGGTCAGTGTTACGGAGATGCCGCACTTGTGGGACATCACAACCCAGGAAATAATTGATGAACTCGAACAGCAAATCGGTCCGTCACTCCCGGATATACATGGGGTCAGGGTGGCAGGCCGTGCTGCCTACATAAGTTTGGGAAGAAGGGAGCCGCTACAGCAACTTTTGAATCGCGGCTTAACCGTTCGCGGAAATATCGTTCCGCTCATCGACGTCACAAGAGAATCTGTCGTCGTTGGTTTAACAGGAGTTCCGCATTATATTGCGGATGGAACGCTATTCATTCTCCTAGCGGCATTCGGAACGATCATCGGGGAAATCGAACGAAGATTTTACAAGGGAGTTGACACTGGTGAGAGATTTGTGCGGATGAAGCTCAAGAAGCTCGTAAAGTTGCCCAAATACGTCACAGTTGGCGGTTGCCGCATTGTCCTTACTGTACACGATAGGATAGGATCTATGCTCCCTGAGTGGGCCCATTTAACAACTGCGCCGTCTCATCTCCCCGCACAACGTCCCCACGTTAACCCCCAACCGTCGACATCTGGCAACGCTGAGAGCATCTTTGTAGCTGAACCTTCTCCATCGGATCGACCGGTGGATAAAGTTATAGATCCTTCTCTTAGAAAAGAACACCAATTCCTTCAAACAGGTGAACTCAAGATTCCAAAGACTTTCTCTACCCGCTGTATTGTAAATTTGAAAGTACCCGACAGATCTTCAAGTACGGGAACAATACCACGTCCCATACATCGCGAGGCTCCGCCTCCACCTCCTCCCAACATCGTTCCACATTCGCCATTGAGCCCTGGGCACGTATTGCGCGTAGGCTCTCTAGATCGTAATCCTCGTATAATAAATCCTTTACCCAATCCTTCCTCGAACAGTGCCTCCCATCCGCCCATCCCTCCCCACCCTCAGACACAGCAGGCTCAGCACTTGCCGACAAATTCTTCACAAACTCAAATAAATGCAGCTACTCGCCAAAATCCCCTTACACCCCACAGCCAACCGCTGCCAGACTGCACTCGATCTCGACCCAATTCAGTCGTGTTCGACGAAACTCCGAGAGACACTCCTAGAAATCAGCCTCCGTCATCACGGCCCGCGCCTTTGGCCAACGGAATCTTGAGAAGGAGTTCTGTCTCCCAAGAACAAGAGGCGCTTTTGCCGCAAAGACAAACTACCACAGCGACTATAAGGAGCAGATTGCGGCTAGGAGGGCCACGACCCGCGGCAGTAAGAGGCCGTGGACAAAGCCAAAGGCAGTTAGGACGCATGGAGAGCATCAGTGAGAACACGATCAGTGAAGATGTCGGTGACGTGACGCCGCTAGGAAGTCGTTCCAGAAGAGACAGCGAACGTAGCTCTGTGAGCGGCACAAGTAAAACGAGCTCAGTTGCTAACAAACCGCGAAAGGACGTAATAGATTTGCCCTGGTGTGGTTGTTGGGGTAATGGTTGCATTTAAGAATAATTTTACTATTGCGTTATTATTAGTGTTAATTCTTAAGTTTGGTATAAATTGTACCTTTGTTCTTGAGAACAGTAATCCGTTTAGGCTTCCCTTGGACCTCTTCCTAAACTTGAGTCATATTCGAATGTTCGTTCAACTTTAACTGTAACATCCAGTGATGCTAGGTAATCAAGCGCGGTTCTTCCGTAGGGCTTTACAGGTGCAAATCAGGGCCTATACTTTCAAAAAAAAGTTAAGAGATCGTAAGTTCATCAGCCAATCATTGACGGCCTTTCAAGCAAAATCCACCAATCATGGACAAGAAAATAGAGCGTAAGTTCTTACGTTAACTTAGCAAATTTTGAAAGTATGGCCCCTGAACCGCGCTTGAGGACGCTTTGATAACGATAGATGGTGAGTTGTTATTAGTACTAGAGGTTTTATGTCATTACTTACTGCCCGTTGAAATACATAATATAGCCTTTGATTCACCGCACTTAGACATCTAATACTTCAGTTAACATGACTTTAGATGTGCAAATCTGGTACTTAGGTTATCCTTTGCTACCTAGCTCCTTGTTATCTCGATGCATATATAGTACTAATAAATAATTCTAAGAAAGCTAGCGAAGTTTGAATAAACTTTATATCAAACGTTGAAGAAGTGATATTTAGTAGCGTAAATTTAAGTAAGAATTCGCCAAATATTTCTATCAATTGAAATTTGTTATATCGTAAGGGTAGCATTATACGTAGTCTCTGAAACTGATCAGTTAAAATATTGGTGGTAGGGACGGCCTATATGCTCCTACTTAATGGAGTGAAGAGATCTATAAGTTGAGTGAGCCGACCTAGGCGAGTATTTGAAACACAAAATGGTTGATCATTATTCCAGCTGTAAATAGAAGTAGATGTTAGCGAATGCTTTGCGATATATACTTAGCCTAGACCCTCGAGATTTCTAATCGGTCCCAATGAGACGCTTCTGTTGATAGAGTTGTTGATTGTGAGCTAGATTTTAAAGAGTTATATTATAAAACCTAATTGTTTAAAAACGTGATTGGTTGTTTACCGTAAACTACTGCACTTAATTCGCTGTTCTTGTCAGTACGAGGTTAGGTTAGGGTAGCTTCGGGAAGGAGAAGAAAAAATTATCGAGCAAGTGTCAAAAATACCACATCGCTTCGAGAGTTTGGTGTCTGCCGCCTCTGAAGTGCATAATTTCTGACTATAGTTTAGTTAATACCGAATAATTTAAGGGTTTTTTTGCGATCACGTTGAATAGATTTTTTCTAATAAATTCAATGATCTACGTGGTGATATGCATTTAAAACAACTAATATATTCCATATACTTCGATTTATAGACGTGTTATGTTACTTTAATTTTTGTTACTGAATCATAAGTTTATAACACGAAAAAATTCAAGCATACATGTGAACATCAGGAAAGCCATGCATGCGCACATTCATATTTCAGAAAGTCTTTTGTATTCGTTTTTGTGTTAGCTTGTTTAACGAAAATATCTCGAAATACTGTGTTTCCATAGACGGATTTCAATAAAAAATAAAAATATAAGAGATTTTAGAATATGAACAGTACGGTTATTGGGGCTAAAAAGAATGAGAAATGAGAGTAAAGAGTATTGTTATGGCAATGAAATCAACCTATAATGAAGGCTAACATTAAGCCAACCAACTAATGGGGACTTGACGAAAATTATTTCGTCAAGCCAGATAATGCGTGAAATTCTACTTCCGAAAAAGTGTAATGGTGATGATTAATATATGACCGAGCTAACTTCACTGGAGATATTTAAATTCTTGCTTTAATTTTTATTTTTCATCATTATAAAGGGCTAAATAGGTATTGAACAACTTGTTCGCGGGTTTTATTTTAAAGTGGCTAATCTAACTTGGTTGGTTGGTTGTTTTTCGTTATTGTTATATTATCTTAATTGGATATTATGCTTGAGCGAAAATTCACGTTGTATGACTTCAGAATTCGTTCAAACTTTTCCAGTTAACATTTGTTAGTTTAATTTTGATGAACGTGTAAATATTTTCTATTTTTTCGTTTTCTGCTGGTCCCGTTTGAAATTTCCCGGCATTGCTGTTGAATTTAGTCACGTCATGCTGTGAGTCACGTCATGCTGTGAGTCACGTCATGCTGTGAGTCACGTCATGCTGTGAGCCACGTCATGCTGTGAATCGTGCAGTGATTCTTGAAGTATTCAACATTTGAAATTCTCTCGAAACGTCAAATGAGTCAAATTCACATTATGATTCAGTATCCTTCGGTATCTGCAAGACATTCTCACAGCAACGTGACGACCGAAAAATTGAATGACATCCATACATTTATTATTGACATACATTTATTTATGACATACATTTATTATTGCTTCATTTATTATTATTAATGACATACATTTATTATTGACTGTGTGTGTTCGCTACTCCAATAGAAGATCGTTCTTTTGCGGTTGGAATCATGGCTTCAGACTCGAGCATTTCGGCGGACAATGTCAAGTTTGGTGGCCCTAGATTGCCGTAAAGATCAAAGCACAACACGAAAGCCTAAACTTCTTAACTCCTGCAAGTTTTCTTGCTTCCTCCGCCTTTTAAAAAGACACTCACTGCTCCGACTATGTCCCTGTGCTTCATGCGGATTATTTTGCTTTTCCATGTCAAATATTTCGGACAGACTTTCTGTAACTAACTATTTTCCAACCTAATTTAAATCAAACAATCGGGCCAATATCCATAAATAGGAATCGTTCACTCTAACCCCAAAGTTTAATTATATTCTTGTTAAAGTTCTAATCGTTCGTACTAAACTGAGTGGTGTTAATTTCATTTTAGTGTAATTCAAATTACAGTATATTTTTTTATTTACTATACGTATTTTCATATTTTGGAATGGTTATGTCACTGTTATCCAATTATATATATAGCGCGATATGATATATAACGCTCCGATAAAATCACTAAAACGCTGCAGTAACATTTTTTTCTAAACTCCATCCACTTTTAAAAAAATGGTTCCACCGAAATTCGACTTTCCACAGATTTTTTTTTTTTTTTCTTATTCCAAATTCTTAGTTATACAATAATCAGAAACCTAAAACTGGATTCGTCAGCAAAAATTTATGGGAAAATTATTATTTTAATTTTGTCATCATCGTCATTGTTATTCTATTTTTTCTTATTCCAAATTCTGAGTTTACTTAAAATTTGGTATTTGTTCCGTGTAGCCCAAACTTTATTATGCGTGCCCTAGTGTTACATTATGTATTGTTACGACACTCTCTCTAGTCACATATTGTATTGCAATTTATACGTGTATCTTGCTTAGTATGTATAAATGAGCTCAGGTAGAGTAACTAATATCTATGAGGCATTCTACGAGTATAGATTCCGCAGTACAAAACTACATAACTAATCCTGATTTGCGTCTGTACTCTAGACGTAACCAAACAAGGCAATTTGTTTTTAAAAGTGAGAATTTTCCAAAAGAAAGCCGGTCATTCCTATATTTTCTATATTATGGTCCATGCTAGGCTGTTACTTTTGACCCAGTTTCAGAGTCAAACAGATCCTTGAATCCACAGCTATGGTGGTAACGAATGTAAAGGCAGTCCTGAGAATTTTCCATTCCTCGAAACTTATAAACTCCAGTCTGAACGATTGACCAAAAATAGCATTCCTTGAAAACATTTCAACTTCTGAGGTGCATAGTGCATACACTTCACCTACAATGTTTTTATTTATTAATACATGCAGTTTTTTTAATTTTTTGCACTGATCCTGTTTACAGCGAGGAAAAAGTTGAGTTAATTGTAGGCGACGTGTGTCAACTGAGAGTCCTTTGTGTGGATCTTTTTGAGCGCATTCTTTCTCACGCTAGGGTTCTTGCTGCAGTATATACCTGAGTAATCTAGTAGACCTGGGTACCGGTATTATTTATAGGAGGTCTAGGTGCTTTAGGAAATCGTGGAGCTCTAAAAGAGGACTGGTGCTCTAGAATTCCTGAGTGCTGTAGGGCATTTCTGTACTCTAGATGTGTGTGTTCTAGGAGGCCTGGGTGCTGCTAAAATGTTGCTCATCCATCATTGCCGTAGTTACGAAACAAATACCCATCGCTGAACACTCGGAATTTAGTTGGGCGAGATGCAACTTTCAAGCAAAATTTAATGCAGATAGGCCTCGAGGAATGATTCTCATTTGTATGTCAGTGGTTTATGAGCGGCAGTTAAATTTATCGAGAGTTTTTCATCTGCGGCCGGACACATTAAAACGAGACAAATATGCACTGCAACCATTAAATAGGTGCGGAAATTAAGCTATATGCAATATGAAGAAAAGTGATTTAACTGAAGCAGTGGAAATTCCAGTTAGTTAACATACTTTGTAGGTATTTGAGTAGAAGATAGATATTTCTTTAGGAGAATGTAAACTTGAAACGAATTACAGTTTTACTATATTTCAAGTTCAGAATTATGTGCGAAATGACGTTAGAAATGTAAAGAATTGACGCTAGTCGCACGATAACTACGATTATGAAGCCAAAGCAAAAGCATTTCGTTGATTTGCATGCATTCGACTTAAATATGAAGAATAGAATAGTTTATTATTTCAACGGTTTGATGTGACGCGTATAGTGTAATACGCATAAGCCTTTAGTTAGCCACTTCTTGTCGTAGCAATAACCACCTGTTGAAAATCTTGGCCGGCTTATCGGCGCACAATGGTTTGCTACGAAACAGCCTTTAAATGGCATAGCCGTTATTCAGAATATTGGTGGAATATTAGATTGCGAACAAGCAAGAAATGCGATTGTCGCAAATAATTCTTCCAAGATTTTTAACATGGTAGCACATCTGCCATACGTAGAAACGGCACAATGGAACTGGGACTGTCAACTACTTAGTGGGCTATAACATGTTTATGATCAATCAATTTAATTCACTTTTTTGCGCGCTGAGTCGAGTGTTGAATGTATTTTCTCTTTTCAACACTAGAGTTCATCATGCATTCAACATCCCAATCGACAATTGTGGCTCTTTTTGCGATGTCTGTAGCTCGGCACGACAAAACGGTTGCTCATCGCTCACTGAAATCGATATG